GTTATATTTAAGGTGGCAGAATTCACCGGACCTGGTGAAAGACTGGACATGTGGGGAGCAGGAGAGGAGGATTCAAGAGTGATGTCCAGATGTGGGGTTTGGGTCCCGAGTGGATGATATTGCCAACCACTGAGCTTGGGAGTACTAGAATAAGAGTAGTTCTGGGAAGGGAAGGCTGGGGAAGGGAGGTGATGGGTGGACACTTGGCCAAGTGAGTCTGGGGTGGTTGCAAGACATCCAAGCAGATGTGCCCCAACGTCCTGGGAGAAATAAGCCAGAAGTTCAGATGTGAGTGTTTCAGCTCATTAGCGTAGGGTGTGCCCGTGTCCCCTCCGATCTCCATGTGGACTAGCCCAACACTGCAGGTGCTTTATCTAGCTCCTTAAAAGGCCCTCACTGCCACTCCTGTCTCCTCTCCAGGCCTGTCACCCTCCTCAACAGCCCGGTCAAGTGGGAGCTGTAGCTAACAGCTGTAGCTGAGAAATCTAGGTGCTGTCACTGAGCAGTACCCTCTTCCTCAAAAGCAAGAACATGTCTGCAAGTGGATCGCACCAGGAGACAAGTGCTCGGAATTCAGAGGTGAGCTGAACGTTCTGAAACTAGGGATGAACGGTGGGAAGGGGCAAAAAGGAGTGAGAAGACTAGGGGAGAAGAGCAAAAGGACGGAAGAGATGAAAGCAGATGAAGAAAGGTCTCAGTAAAGCGACTTGGAAGAGTGTTCTGCTGAACGGCACGTGGCCCTGTGCTCTGGCATGGAGGCAACAAAGGGGAGGTGACACCGCTACCACGGGGGTCCCAAGAGGCTCAGTCCTCACCGCTGCACGGAAATGCCTGCATCCACTTTGAAACAAGGGCTTTTGTCCTCAAGACCGCAAAGACTGGAGATCCTTATACATGGAACTCTTTGGAGGGGCTGAGAGGAGGCTAACAAGGTAATTTGCTACTCATTTATCAATGGTTTATTACTTACTATGTAAGTCACTAAAACTAGTTTTCTACTTAAATGTTTTCAGTTGTAACAAAAACAGTAGGTAAGGAAAAATGTGAAAGAGACAATTACTATGATGGTTTTCATTGTGATTAAACTCTCAGACATCCAAAATCATATAAGCATTTACCTAAGAAAAGTACTTTTGTGGGCACTATTTAAATACATAGAAACCAAAAAGCTAAGGATGAAGAGTAAAACTACTTCTACACTGTGGTGCTGTACTTCTGATTTTTGGCCCTACTCCTTGGTGTTCCCAGTTCTGATACATTCTCAGTGCCTCAGGAACGCTCTTTGCAAAGACAACCCCAGGCCACAATCGACACAGGCATGACAGGCTTCGCTCCGTGCCTTAGTTTTTCCTTAGTCCCCTTGTTTCACTTGTATCTTGTTTTGTCATTTATTTTTCCTACTCAAGAAGTTTGACAATGACAAACAATTGTGTCCTATTATTCTAATATTTAAAAAAATAATAGTTTGAGGGGCACCTGGGTGGCTCAGTCGGTTAAGTGTCTGCCTTCGGATCGGGTCGTGATCCCAGGGTCCTGGGATGGAGCCCCACATCAGGCTCCCTGCTCAGTGGGGAGCCTGCTTCTCCCCCTCCTCTGCTCCGCCCCCTGCTTGTGCTCTCTCTCTCAAATAAATAAATAAAATCTTAAAAAGAAATAACAGCTTAAACATAAAAATCTTTCTAAACGCTTGAAAGGTCTCATATGCTAAAGCAAAAAGTTATGATTTTAACACAACGGTTATGGTTTTTGACTATAGACTCAAGTGGATTTGAAATTTACCACTCACCACAGTCTTCTCAGCACACAGGTAAAAACAACACAAGCAACAAAACACAAACAGTGGAGCTGATACTGCCAACACATGGAGGTGTTAACCCCAGAGCCTGGAAAATGAGGCTGCATCCCCTCCCCGCTGTCTCCTCCCCACTCAGACTCCTTTCAAGTCTTCCGCGGGTCTCTGAGGAGCACGGTTTGAGCGACTCTGTTCCAGGGAATCCCTAAATGTCTCTCCCCTCCCCCTCCTCTCCACCACAGCCACCACGTTCATCACCAGCACCACCGCCGCTGCCACAGCCTACCATCATCACAACCTATTCTGATACGAGAATTTATTCCAAAAATGACAATGTAAAAGACCATTCATTATTCTCTTTATGTTCAAGGCACACCATTATTCTTAAGAGAACTTTATGGCTTCGACAATATTTGAATAACACACTTTGCATAAACCAAAGTCTCTTGACTGTGTTATCAATTCACAAATCTGTTTTAGTTCTCGTCTAAAAGAGAGAACTATGGGGGGGCGCCTGGGTGGCTCAGTCGGTTAGGCGACTGCCTTCGGCTCTGGGTTTAAGGGCCTTGGGTGTGAGCCCCACATCGGGCTCCCTGCTTTTTGGGAGCCTGCTCCTCTCTCTCTCTGTCTCTCTGTGTCTCATGAATAAATAAATAAAATCTCTCTAAAAAAAAAAAAAGATCGAGCTCTGTGTCAGGCTCTGTGCTCTGTGCAGAGTATGTTTAAGACTCTCTTTCCCTCTCCCCCTGCCTCTCTCCCCACTGCTCGCGCACACGCTTTCTCTCTCAAATAAATCAATCTAAAAAACAAAAAACCAAAACCACAAAAACTTCTCCCCAGCCTCTCAGTCCTCTGGATATAATCCAGCTCTTTTAAAGGCCTTTCCCGATCTCTAGCTTCTCTCTGCAAGGCCTTCCTATCACCCTAACACTTATCCCAACCACTGATCCTCCTCTGAACTTCTTTTTGTCCAGGTACTTGTCTTTCTGTCCACATGGAGGTTTAAAGAGGGCAGAGCTCCTGTCCTCCACGCTATTATATCCTGAGCCTCTGTGGGCTATGCCTGGCACATAATAGTGTTCAATGATTTATTTTGAACGAGTGTATACCAAATAAAAGGATGAAGGTACCAGTTCCAGAAGCATTAACGTAGATGGGTACAAGAGCCCTGTAGTTACTTACTAAACCTTACTAACTATGGGGCTCTGCTGGGTGATCCGAATTCTTGGATTGAGGAGGTTGGGAGGTAGGAGCCAGGGGAATGGAAGTAACCAGCCTCAACTGGGTTTCCGACAGAGCTCTGGAACCGGGCAGTGGGGGTGCACCAATGGTTCTTTATTCATGCCTGTTTGCATGACGTTTGATGGTGAGAAACGATCTTTTTTTAACCCACATCTCAGTGCATGACAGAGGCAACAAGCACTCCGCATCCATTCTACTGCCTTCTATGAGCCTTCCCGTATTAGACGCCCACAGCTAAAACACGTCACTCGCCAGACTCCCTTGTAGGTCGGATTTTGGATTCAAATTTGGTTCCATATGTAAGGTGATTGAGTGACCATGGAGAAAGAACTCTATCCTTAGTCTTGTCTTTAGGGCATGTTTATGAAAATTTAGGGATGGTAGAAAACTGGAAGGAATAACTAATATGCTGATTACAGAATCAGGGTACAGAAAGATCTCAACAGGCTGGGGGACTGGAATCCAAAGCTTTACCAGGGCCCGAGTTCTACATTTGGGACGAAGCGACCAAATGCACACAAATAATCCTGAGTGAGGAAGGGCTTTATAGTTTTCTTAACTATAAAAGAAAAACTTCAGATTCTAAACTGAATTTAGGACAAATAGTGTGACGTGGCTCAAAAGGGCTAAATGAAACTCAGACTTCATCACCAGAAGTAGGATTTTTAGGAGTGCGGGAACTTACAGTCTCAACAAATTCTGCACTTGTTAAAACCATACTTGTAAACCAGTGACATTTAGTTCTGGGCACAAAGACTCTCAACAAGCTACAGCTTTTCTAGATGACAACAGAAAGGATTTAAAACCAGGACTATGAGGAACAGTGGTAAGGACCCAGGAGTATTTCCTGGAGAATGGGTAGATGGGACAAGAAGCTCAGCCTTGCTTTGTAGGGTCCCAGAGGACAATGGTACACGAGCAATTACAGAAACTGGAGGGAGGCTGACAGAGGCTCAGTCTAAAAAGACAGGACAGCCAGAACTGGAAGGGCACTGGGTGGGAGGTGGCCTCCCTGGCACTTGCTACAGAGGCCTCTAGCTGCGTGGGGACAATGCAGAAGGGGGGAGGAAGGCCCTAAGTGTGATGCCCTGACTTGGACTGGATTCTCCTTCTGGTCCCTCTGCACCCAGGGGCTCTGCGATTTGGGGAGCCCAGTTCTCACCGCCCAGGCCGACTCCGCGCCTGGAGCACAGCGAGACCGTGCGCCAAGAGCCGAAACCCTAGTTAGAAAGTGGGGCCACTGTCAGCTCCCGCTACACAGGCCAGCTGGGGCGCGCCGCGTGTGTATTTCGTCACAATTCATGACCCCTGTGGGAAGATTCTGGTCCAGCCCGGCAAGATCTTTGCCGCCACAGTGTCCAGCAGAGAGCCTTGCACAAAGCAGGAACTCAAAACCCAAGTTTTAGTCTAATTTTACAATTTTTCTTCCAGCTGGAATCACAACACGACTCGTATTGTAGAATGCCACTACACGGACGATTCCGTTTCGGTGCCAACCACACGTCAGGAATGCTGTGGAGCTCGGAAGCCCCCCGTGCACGGACTGCCCCACAGGCCGGTGACACCAGAGATCTTGGCGATTGGTCCCCCAGCCCCCAAGCTCCCAAGCACTTCTAACCGAGGCTGGGCTTGAGGACCACTGGCTCATCCCATAAGGAAATGGAAACTTTTCTAAGGAAACACCAGCTAACACAACGGTCCCCCATCTTTCCTGAGGAGGATCTATTTCTTCTCTACTCTCCTTAAACTGAAAGTGTCAAAAATCTTTGCTTCCTGGGTAGAAAGCTATCAGAGAATCCTACTTTCTTTATTCTCTGGGGACAGTATTTAAGTACAACGCTACACGGTGAAAGACACTTAAATCAGTGTCCTTTGCTACGTGAAAACACCATCAGAGTGTGTACACACAGGTAACGAGAATAAATGACTTTTTTAACTTCTCAAGTGACCTCAGTGCCCTCCATACCTGGACCGAGCAGCGGCGACCGACTCAGCTGGGCGCCGGCCTGGTGCGGCGGTGGCGTCTCGACCACGTCCGAGCTGCTGCTCGTGGTGGGGGGGGTGGCGGCGGCGGCCGTGGTACTGCTCTGCATGCCCGGGTTGTTTCTATCCCACATGTTTACAGTTTTATTGTTGTAGTTGCTCGGGTCACCCCAAGCTGAGGTACCATCATCAATTTCCATTTTGCGTCGAATGGATGGTGGAGAAGGTTCCTCCCAGCCCGTGGCCTCACTGCTGTCCTTTTGTTTGACAGGGACTGGCCCCCCGATCCACCCAGTTCCTGTCTGTTTAACGGAAGCGGCTCCTCCCCAGTTACTCACATTGCTGTCTTGGGGTTTGCCCGCCCAGTTCTGTTGGGGGCCAGGTTTTAAAGACTCTCCCCAGTTTGTCCCTGGATTCACCTTTGAATTTGTGCCATTACCCCAGCCACTGGTCCCAGACCTGGTAGGATCATTCCAACCAGACCCTGACCGATTACTGTCAGCATCCCATCCAGAGCCATTTTTTTTCCCATCCCCCAAGTGTCCGAGGACAGAAGACGAATCTGCCCAATCTCCCCCTCCTGCATTCCAGGCTGGATTAGATTTTTGTCCGTCTCCCCAGTTTTGAGATTTGGGTTTCTGAGGCTCCCCCCAGGTGGGTGACTTGTCCTCCTGATTTACGGTCCCACTCCAAGCATGGCCACTCTTGGCGGCAGCAGCAGCATTATTAACAGCAGTAGAGCTTATCGAGTCCCCCCAAACCCCTGGGCCATTTGGCGCTTTGTTGCTGCTGTCTCCCCAGCCTGTGTTTGCTGGCCCAGCAGCCGGCGGTGCACTGGCCCACCCGGACACTGAAGAGGTATTTGTACTGTTCACGATGGACCCATCACTCTTCCCCCCTGAGTTTGAAGGCTGAGTAGCGGCACAGCCCCAGGCCTCTGTCCCATTGTCATTTTTTCTCTCAGACCTAGGGGACTCTTCAAATTCCCAGGCAGTGTTTTGCTTTACTGGAGTCTGTCCCCAGCCAGTATTAGACAGAACTCTTGGGTCAAGATCGTTCCTTGGCAATTGGATGTGCCCTTGGTCTATCATCCCTTTATCTCGCCTTCGGCCTTCTGCTCCTTCCCTCCCGGAGCTTCCTTCATTGTGACTGCCAGAACCGTCGCTACTTCCTTCACTTGCTGTCGTTCCAGAAGACGCAGCTTTGGCCCAAGAGTTCATGTGTTCACTGCCAGGCTGCATGGCAGGATTCTGGCTGCTAACACTCGGACTGTCCCACCCTGTTGATCCTTTCCCATTGATGTCACTGTTGGAATGCTGGTTTGGGGGCTTGCCCCATTCCCCATTCACACCGTTAGAGGTGCTCCTGCTGGGGTGGCCCCAAGCTCCCGAATGGATATGACTGACGCTGCTGTTGTTGCCACTGCCCCGTCCCCAGGCGAGGAGTCCAGGACCAGCAGGGGGGCCGGAGTCCCAGGCGCTTCCTCCACTTCCTTCCTTCTGCACAGCACTGCTGGATCCATTCTGCTTAGCACTCAACGCTGAGTTCACAGTGTCTCCATTCCCCTGACTGAACCCAGAATTGCTACTTCCTGTGGCAGGGTTACCTGGGGACAGTCCCCACACAGAACTGCTGATTCCTTCACCACCGCTCCCACTGACTTGAGAAACTGATGATCCGTTAGCACCAGGAAGGCCCTGCAGGTGGGGCGGGATGATGGCCCCCATACCGACAGCCATGCCCCAGTTTGGCAGTCCGTTTGTCTGCATTGCATTGACAGGGTTTGGTGAAGAGTTCATGGGGTTAGTGTTATTTGGTCCATCAGTGTTAAGGTTCTGAGGTTGTACGCTGAAAGACACATTCTGAGAAGTGGACGTTTGTGGTTCTGTGCTCTCTTGCGGCAGCAAGTTTCCCCAAGCACCTAAAGTGCCTGTTGGGTTCCCGTTCTGGTTGCCCGTATTTTGACCTATGGCACTGACCGGACTGCAAATACTGGAAGGGTTGCCTGTCGCCACAGTTCCTTCATGTCCAAGTACAGGCCAGGCAGCTGGGTTGGCATTAGGATTAAGGTTAAGATTAATGCCAGCGTTGGAGTTGGAAGCCCCCCAGCAATTCTGACTTCTCCCATCTCCGATCATGTTGTCCATTTTTCCATCCCCACCGCTGAGAGAGCAGTGAGCTGGGCCGGAGCTGGAGCCTGTGGCTACGGCCCACACTCTGGCTCCATTTCCATTACCGCTGGCGCCCCCTGCTCCAAGGGCACTCTGATTAGAAGGGCTTTGGACGAGCGCACCGTTGGTGCCATTATTGCCATTTGTCTTCTTGGTATGTCCAGTGAAGGTGCCCTGGGCACTCCCCGTAGCCATGCTACTGTTCTCTGAGCCACAGTTGGAGGCAGAGTCAGTGTCTGTGGTACATTCTGAGGCAGATTCAGTCTCTGCTCCTGTGATGGAAGGCCACGCCTCCTTGTCAGTCCTGTCTATTATCACTTTATCCCAGCTGCTGCTGGTTTCACCTCTGTACGTGGGCTGCTGTCCCCAGTGGGAACTTTCATAGTGATCTGCCAATCCACCGTGACTGAGATCTGAAAAACAAGAAACACATTCAGAATTAGAGCTTCCTCTCATCCGTCAATGAATCCACTGTGAACTAGTCTTTGGGGGAAGCTCCTTATTTCCAGTTTCAACGTTGAAAGACAAGTGCTAAAAAATGACTTTAGAAAAAAGCTACCTGTCTTCATAGTAACTTCCATGTTTCTAAAATGAGCCAATGTTTCTAAAATGATATTAATCCTCACCACTACCCGACACCATTCTCTCTCTTGAGGGGACTCACAGCGCACATGAGCACATGAGCGTCTCTGACAGTAACAAGGAGAGGAATGCGGCAGGTGGGACACGGATGTGACCACGCCACACCTGAACACACTCGGACTGTGGTGACAACACGTTCACGTGGGTTCTTGAATACAGTCCGCAGTTCTCTTCAAGACCTCCAACTGGAGCTATGGTACGATACAGAGGCTACACGGCTCACTCAGTAGAAAACAACTGTAAATACAGTGCAGAACCATGAAACAGAACCAATATTTTGGGGGTGAGGGACAGAGGGAGAGAGAGAAGAGGCGTTATAAAATGCTATCTTATGTTATTGGGGGTATGGAGGGTTAGAAACAGTTCATTACATTTATATTACTTATCTGTTATCACCAGCAATTACGGTTTGCCATTATTAAACACAAATAAGAACTCTCTGAGGACTTTCTCCCCTTGCCCTCCATCTCCTTGAATCACAGTCTTTGCACTGGAGACCCCAGGATAACGTGATGCGCTATCTTCCATTCTAGCATTCATCTCGTTTCACCCTTAGATCCTTTTAAAGAATCCAGTATTTGCCATCGGCATTTTATTTCCTAGGATTTCTAGTTATTTGACTATTTCTAACATTGCAATCCAACTTATGCTCCAATGAATTTTTCCAGCAGACTCTATCTGAAGTATGGGTCATTTAAAACTAAATAAAAGTAATATAAAAAAATTTATTTAACCTATGCATACAACAAACTCACACAACTTAGAGATCCTTGACGGTTTCTTCAAACAGTATGATGTACAGATAACTGCAATAAAATATTTCTTCTCTTTTAGAACTTTTTCTTTCATTATGTTTTCTTCAAAATTTTAACAAGAAAAATTTTACTCCTGGGAAGTAAAACTGGGTTTCCCACAGAAAATCTCTTTTAAAGTTTAATGGAGCTAAAAGAAAAACAGGGGAAGTGTGTAAAGAATGATCACTATCGCTACAAAGAACATCCTAGAGACAACTTCAACCTATTAAAAAAAAAAAAAGGTTTCGTTGTCTGATTTAAAAGGGATGTAATGAATTCAGAATTTTGCTCTTGGTGCTCAGCAAAGGAAACCACCAATAAGACGAAAAGGCAAGCTACAGAATGAGAGAAAATATTTGCAAATGACGTATATGACAAGGGATTAATATTTAAAATATATGTAGAACTAGTACAACTCAACACCAAGAAATCCAAATAATCTGATTAAAAATGTGCAGAAGAGGGGTGCCTGGGTGGCTCAGTCAATTAAGCATCGACTCTTGGTTTCAGCTCAGGTCATGATCTCAGGGCTGTGAGATCAAGCCCTGCGTCAGGCTTGTGCTCAGCGTGGAGTATGCTTGAGATTCTCGCTCTTCCTCTCCCTCTGCCCCTCCCCCCCATGCTCTCTCTCTCAAATAAAATAGTTAAGTAAAATCTTTGGAAAAAAACACGGGCAGAGGACCTGAACAGACATTTTTCCAAAGAAGACACACAGGTGGCCAACAGATACAAGGGAAGATACTCAACATCGCTTATCATCAGGGAAATGCAAGTCAAAACCACAATGCGACATCACCTTATACCAATCAAAAAGACAAGAAACAACAAATGTTGATGAGGATGTGGAGAAAAGGGAATCCACATACACTGTTGGGTCAGAATGCAAACTGGTGCAGCCACTCCAGAAAACAGTACGGAAGCTCCCCAAAAAACTAAAAATAGAAGTACCACAGAATCCAATAATTCTACTTCTGGGTATTTACCCTAAGAAAACAAAAACACTAATTCAAAGGCAGATGAACCCCTAAGTTTACTACAGCATTATTCATGATAGCTAAAATATATAAGCAATCCAAGTGTCCATCAATAGATGAATGGATAAAGATGTGGTATATATACACACACATACACACATAATGGAATATTACTCAGCCGTAAGAAAGGATTGAGATCTTGGGGCACCTGCGTGGCTCAGTCGGTTAAGCATCTGCCTTCGGCTCAGGTCATGATCCCAGGATGCTGGGATCGAGTCCCACATTGGGATCCCTGCTTAGCAGGAAGTCTGCTTCTTCCTCTGCCCCTCCCCCTGCTCATGATCTCTCTCTCCCTCTCTCAAATAAATAAATAAAATCTTAAAAAAGAAAAAAAAAGAAAGAAAGGATGGGATCTTGCCATTCCTAGAAACATGGATGGACCTAGAGGGTCTTACACTAAATGAACTAAGTCAGCTAAATGAATCAGAGACAGATTTCAAAGACAGTTAACATATGAATCCACTTACATATGGAACCTAAAATGCAAATGAACAAATAAACAAAGACAGTAACAGACTCATAAATACAGAGAATAAACTGGTGGTTGCCAGAGGGGAGGGGGACTGGGAGATGGATGAAATCGGGGAAGGGGAATAAGAGGTCCGAATGAAAATAAGTCACAGGGATGAAAAGTACAGCATTAAAACACATTAATTATGCCCTAGGTGAATCTGAAGTAGGTAATTCCAGGTGAAACTACAAAGGAAAAACAATGCTAGGCAACAGAAAACTTTAGGACCTAAATTACTATGAAAATAAATTTTTTATTGCCAAATACTAGGGGCTGACTCTGCAACCTTGGTTTATGGCAATTTCCCCCACTGGTATTGCATGTGCTACAAAAACTGGCTTTCGTAATAACTAATTTAAAGAGATAAATGAGCCAATCATCATTTAAGGCAGAAAATAAGACCAAGTTAAAAAAAAAAACAGAGATTACTGCTTATTATCAGCAAATCTCCCACAGTTCACTCTCCCATCAGTCTTGCTTCCCTCAGGGACAGGATATACCAGGACCAGGACAGTACTCACTGCAACCCACACCCAGCAGGCGGCAGGAGGTCACCAACCTGGCTTACCAGTGCACTCTTTCCGATACCTGGAGTACCTTTTGAATACATAATATTATTTTTTTCTATTCCATAATAGGTCACAATGCAAAAGAATCAGCTCTTTCTTAATGGTCTAGAGGGTTTGTGTGGAATGCCTTTTGTCTACTGCTCAGCCCCCAACCTGCTGGACTCATACTGTTATACGTCAGATTTGAAAAATGTGTTTGCATCCTTGGATAAGAAGGATAGCATCATAAGCCAGTGGAGAAAGGAAGCACCAGCTAATAAATGCTGTTGGGACATGTGGCTAGCCATACGGACAAAATAAGATCCCTGCCTTTTCTATCATATAGAAAAATCAGCTCTAGATGGATTAAAGACCTAGTTACAAAAAGCAAAACTTTTTAAAGCTCAATAAGGAAATACAGGAGGCCATCTCTATGACCTGGGACACTCATCTTCCTAACGAGTTGATAACTTTGACTCTTGTTAATATTAGAAACAACTGTATGACAGCAGATATCATGTAAAGGAAGCTAAAAAAATAAGCCACGGACAGGGAGAAGAGAGAACAGAATAAAGAATGAAGAATCCCTAAAACTCAATAAGAAAAAGACCAACAACCCAACAAAGGTGGGAAAACGACAGGAAGAGGCAATCCAGAGAAGAGGAGGCCCACGACAGCCGCTACCACGTGAAATAATAACCGATCTCATCAGTAATCAAGAAACGCACGTGAACACCGAGAGATGTCATTTCACACGGAAACAAGAGGACTGTGATTCCTTTCGGGGGAGACAAAAATGCGATTGAGCAACATCTGTATCATTTCTAAAATAGAGAACTGAAGCAAATACAGCAAAAGATTATGTTACATCTGTACTATGGATACAGTTATATTATTTTTTGTATACTTTCTTCTATTTTAAAAATAGATCAGAAAAATTGAAAAAAAAATTGAACGCTTGATTGTGGTATCAAACGAAGTGACATAAATGGAAATCCAAAAGGGATCCAGGCTAAGCAGCCAGTGCTACGAGCCACGGGGATGTGACGAAGAGAAGTGGTCAAACCTGCAGGGTTAGAAATCTGTGTGAACTTTATGCGCGCAAGGAGACTCGGTGTGATTACCCCACCAGTCTGGCACTGAATGAAGTCTGATTCTGAAGGTGAATCCTGGAGCGCAGTTTTACAGCCATCGCGCCTGCTTCATGATAACCAACCAAAGAGGTTTCCCGGACCAACCAAGGAATGTACGTATAGAACCCAAGCTGAGTGCCAGCTAAAGGCGCTCACCATCTGAACAAGCCACGTCCCTTCTCCCCTCCACAAAGTCGAGGACGGGCTACATAATCCCTCAGGTTCTCAGCCGAAAACCGGATGATTTCTAGAGCTGCTGTACTTTCCACGGTAACAGGAGAATCACACACGAAAGTACCGAGCCACATAGCTCGCATGTTCAGTCTCAACCCCAGTATCAAAGCAAAGATTTCTTTTTGTTGTGGTAAAATAACACATTTCCCATCTTAGCCCTTTTTGAGTACACAATTCAGTGGCTTAAGTACATTCATGCTGTACAAGCATGAGCACTATCCACCATCCCAACCTGAAAGTGTAACCTATCACACAGAAGTCCTCTCGCCCCTCTCCCCAGGCTCTGGTAACCACTGTGACCCTGACTATTCCATGTACTTCCTATAAATAGAATCGTACGGTATTTGTCCTTTTCTGTCTGGCTTATTTCTCTCAGCATCATGTTCTCGAGGTCCATCCACATTGTAGCAGGTGTCAGAACCTCCTTCCTCCTTTTTAAGGCTGAATAATATTCCACTGTATGCATACACCACACTGTGTTTACCCACTCGTCCATCCATGGACAATGTGGGCTGCTTCACC